CTAAGCACTCAAGTGATGCTGATGCCAGTGGTCCATGGACCATGCTATGAGTACAAGGTCATAGGGCAATGTGCATTTTTATTTTCATTGTTACTGCCAAATTACATTCCGAAGCAACTGTATCAATTACCAACAGAATATGGGAGTAGTACTTATTTCGCACGTTTTCTCTAACACTTAGAAATTTCCCTATTCATTTTTTTCTCAATTTGATAGGTGAACTATATCTATGTTTTTAAAATGTATTTTTATTTTTTAACAAGTTTTTTCACTCTCTTATACGTTCATTGGTTATTTATACATTCTCTACTTGTCTGTTCATATTCTTGACTCATTTTTCCATTTGGATATTCTTGCCCTTCTATTTTAGTGGCTTATATGAATTCTTTATATATTTTGGGTATCAATCCTTGGTCTGTTGACTGTCTTGCAAATATTTTCCTCTGGGTCTGCAGAAGAAGTTTTTACCCAGCAGCGTTGTCCGGTGACTGAATGGAAGTGAAGCTGTTCAGAAGTTGCATAACCACTTGCTAGGGAGGAATTTGGTACCTCCCTCAACTTCCTGTGCCTTCTTTTTCATATTAATATAGTATCTCAGAAAAGAGCTTATCCTACTGTATTATGGTTGTTTATGTTTTGGCCTCATCTATTCAACAGTGATCTCTGAGGGCAGGGATGAGGGTCTGTGAGTCGTCTCTGTATTGCCAGTGCCCAGTGTTGGGTCTAGCACAGAGCAGGCACTCAGAAAATATTTAGCGGATGAATCAATGGACAGAGGGTTAGATGGGTCTTGTTGCTGGATTCCAGCCAAGATTTGCCCCGTGACTCAGCTAGGAGTTGTTTTGGATCCTTAAATAGGGTGACAGAAGAGGAGCAAGAGGACCCTTTGCTCCTAGAGGAAAGTGCCCTCTGGGTGGCTTGTCTTCCCTCCATTCATTTGCATATTAGATACTCTGGTGCCCAGAGACAGCAATAATGACAATAGCCAATACTTATGTAGTGCCTTTAGTGTGCTTTGTATACATTAATTCATCTAATTCTTACAGCTTCTACATGAGGTCAGCATTATCAGTATTATCTCCATTTACAGATGAAGAAACTGAGGCACGGTGGGGTTAAGGAATTTTCCCAAGATCATACAGCTAGTAAATGGCAGAACTGAGATATGAACCCAGCTGTCTGGCTCCGTAATCTGTGCTCAAGAGAGAACATGAAAAACACTAGGCCTGGTACAAAGTAGGCACTAAACAAACATTTCTCTCTTCATTTACCATCCCTCCCCGAGAAGTGAGCCTTTTTTGTTAATGATATCTCAGACCAGTAGCTTGGCAAAATCCAATCTTGGCCCTACTTTTCCTCTGTAGCTTTTGTCTCTGAACCACACATTCATCCTTGCTGGAAGTGCCAATAATCCCCGTTCTCCTAGGAACCTGGTAACCCCAATTCCCATGCAGCCAGCACAGGGATTGAGGCTTTCCATGATCTGGACCTGTTTTTACCCTTTAGCCACCCCCCCACCCCCCACCAAATCCTGACACTCTGGCCCCAAGGCTTTGCATGGTGCTGCCATCTGGTAGGTACAGATGGCCACTGACAACCCTCTCTGAAGAGTGAACGGCCATTGGCCAAGACTGATTACTGTTCCTCTTTAACCCTCAGGTCAGGGTACCCTATGCAGAATGTAATCAGTTGGTGGCTGAATTCCATTAGTGACTGGCCTTTTCTAACTCTAGTATCAAAGGTATTTTGAATGAAGGCTTAGTGTTGGGGGAGTCACAGTGTGGTGGTACTTATGGGTAGGAAGTCCTACTTAGCTCATCCTCAATCACATCAAGAGAAGATGTCTACCCAATTTTTTACTGCCTACCCAATGTAAAAGATGGGTGAAATCCAGAGGCTGTAGTAGATAAACCTTATCAAGAATCTTCAGCCCCATTGTATATGCCTCAAGGCACTCACTCTCCTCTTGTGGCAGGAGTTGAAGGAGACCCTAGATTCTCTCAGTATAAGTTTGAAGAACTACTTTGTACTGGAGTCTCTGCTAGGCCTGCTCACACCTATTATCTGATTAACTCCTCACAGTGATTCCCAGCAGGAGGCAGGATTTATTTAAAGTAAAGGAGAGGAAACACAGGAGTTAGATAAATGACCGAACTTGAGAATCAGAACATCCTTACAAACCAAGGATGATTTTTAGCAGCTTCCCGAGCTCAGAAAAGAGGCCCATATTGACACAATGAAACTCAGATTGGATCTACGTATCTGGAGCAAAGTGGGCAGAGTCTAGGACAACTGGTCATTTACACAAAACCTCAGGAGCACAACCATTACTTGTTGGATTGGATGTACAGTAACTGAATTCAGGACTAAAGCTATGAATTTCTACCCAGGTATTGTTTACAAGGGAGCTTGCAAAGGGACTTTTTTCTGACCTGTGACTCTGTAAAATCTTTGTGAGCAGTCTTTATGCCCCCTCCCACTTCCTTTGTTTGTAACCAAGGGATTAAGGGTCTTGAGTGGAAAGTTGAGGGTACTGGGGGTGACCAGTACCTGGAAGAAACCAGCCTTTGATTTTGAATATCTTATCAACCTATGCAGATCACTGTACTACTGATAATGAAGACAGACATTATGAATAGAAAGCCAACGTGCTGGAGCCCAGCTAGCCACGATGAGATGAGCCCCTTAGTGCTCATAACTTTAGTTCCTGTTAGCTTCCACTAGGGGAGAGAGGGCTAATACTGGTAGGTAGAGAAACCAAGTATTGCTAAACAGCAGGATGGAGGTCACGGAGCTGAGCTCTGGCCTGGAAAGGGAGTGACCACATCTGGAAGGAAACTCACATGATCCTAACCACTCACTACGTGTCCTGCACTACTTAAAGCCCTCTCTGGAACATTCTCTCAGTTAATTTTCACAACCTGTCCTCAGTAAGGTATTGTCTATCTACATTTGATACATGGGAGAAATTGAACCCTAATGACTTTTTGAAATGTGTCCAGGCTCTCATAACTAATACATGGTAGATCTAGGATTAGAACCCTAGAGTCTGCCTGCACCTCCAGAGAAAACTCTGAACTGGTCAGCCACACCCTGTGACTTTTCAGAGAGGAAAACCTGTTCAGCATTCTTCTTTTGTTGTATTCATACCCTGTACAGTTACACATTATTGTAGATGATCAGCTGTACAAAATTTAAGATCACACAATTCACTTTGTTTTCTTCTTGACCCTCATTTTTTTTAAACTTGGGATTTTTTTTCCATTAAGAATGTGAAAAGAATGAGTATTCCCTCCTCTTTCTAGCCCTGTGGTGGTTTAGGAAGATCCCAAGAAGGGCTGAACTTCCAGGGCTCCTCCCGGGAGACAGGGCAGAACAGAAGGAAAGATTACACCTTAACCCGTACTCAAGGGCATGGCTTATAAGTCTGTCCAACCAGAAGAAAGTTCAGATCCTTTATTTGTGAGCTGGATTATACCTCTGGAAGAGAAAAAAGGGAGAGACAAGTTTTACTCCCTCCTGGAGGCAGATTTCTCTACCTTGATTTTTTCAGAAATTTTGTACATTCTTTCCTCTCACATATGTATCTCCTACATACCATACATACGATTCTTCTCCCCCTCCTATACCCCAGGCCACCTCAACCCACACCCACTGTTCTCTCTTCCAGCTATGGATCAAGGGAAATCTTCCAGGTCCCTAGTTGGTATCTGTTTTCACAGCATCTTTGGCGAGGTTTTTTAAGCAAAGTGCTAGTAGAAGGGCCCTTGGCTGATGGGGCCATAAAGTGCCCTTTCTTTGGTTTTGTGCCTTCCCTCTTTTGTGGGGCCAGTTATTTGAATCCAGAGACATCCCAGGAGGGAGCTGCCCTGAGTATTTCTGTGACTGGTTGGAAGGCTGGCACACAACGAAGTGGGCAAGCAGCAGACTGCCTCCCTGGCTTTTAGGCCAAAAAATTAAAGCAACTCAGAGATGGAGAAGAGGCAGGAAATCTGTGTTGTAAAAAGTCTTTGTTTAAAGGAATTCTGTTCAGGTGCTGAGAACGGGGTGTTCAGCAGAAGAGGATAATATAAGTAAACATTGGCACTAAGAACAAACACAGCAGTATCACCCTCTGCGTCTCGCCTCCCCCTGTGCTCAGTCACAGTTCTCTCCCACCGCCCTCTCCGACAGCAATCACAAACAACATGTAGAAGGGCTTTACAGTTCAGAGAGACCTTAATTCCCCCCAGCGGCATTTCCTTGCAGGGTTTCCCTATGCACTGGATGACCCTGGTCCCACATGAATGAAAACTGGGCTTAAAGGACACATCCATGTCCTGGGAGCTGTATAGACTTAAAGAAAAACCTAGATAGGGGCAAAATTTGGGGCAAGCGGTGGCGGGGGGGGGGGGGGGGGGGGGGGGGGGAGGGGGGGGGAAGAAGTGGTAGAGAGTCATCTAATAGGTCACCAACGTTGCTTCTGGGAGATTCCCGGAGGGTTGGTTCCTTTCAGCCAGGTTTAGGGCCAGGTCTGGACACACTCAGGAGGCCAGTGGCTGAAGGGCGGAGGGCAGGGTGGAGGCCCAAGTGAGGCCAAGGAAGGAGTGGATGCCCCTGGGGCTGGCACTTGCTTGGCTTCTCAGGGTCCTGGCAACCAAGAAAAGATTCCAGGAGTCGACCGGTGGCACCAATGCGAGAAGCCCCGGGCGGATGAAAGAAGCTGACGCCTGCGACCCCCACAAAACCAGGAGATTCCTGCCCAAGAGCAAGAGATGGAATTCCCCTCACGGAGGAAGCTGCCGACCTAAGGGCTGGGACTGGAAGCGCGCCCTCTCCGGGAGCTTCGGGTCTGGGGCAGCCTGCGAAGGCGCGGGCGGAGGCCCGGGCGCGTCCCTGGGGGCGGGAGCCAGGGGCGGCCAGCAGGTGGGGCCTGGGGGCTGGACTCCGCCCTCTGCTCCCGCCCCGTTGGTCCGCTGCCGCTCAGCACCTGCCCCTCTCCAGAGCCGGAGCGCGATTGGTGGCAGCGCTTGTCGCTCGGAGGGGGCCGGGCCGCTCTTCTTCGCGGCTCTCCCAGCCGCCGCTGCCGCTGCCGCGGTTCTCCTAGCTGCGCCGGCCGGTCGGACCGCCAAGGCAGCCGGCACTGGCTATGGGAAACGGTGTGGCCGCCGACACAGGCAGTGGCAAAGTTTCCCAGACGTACACATCTGGGCGCGCGACTGCCGGCTACCCGTGACCCCTCTAGGAAGGGCTCAGGGATTTTTAATTTGGAAAAAATTCCACCTGGTTTCCTTTGTCAAGGTCTCTCCGGGTGGCCAGCAGCAGGAGCTGCAAACTTGGGCACGGCGGCTTCACCGGCAGCGGACCGGCTTTGGAGAACCTCAGGACTCAGGTGCTGGGGTGCCCAGCGGCTCCGGACGTGCTACGGGGTGTGAGCGCGGGGGAGTCCGGGGCGCGCGACAAGGAAGGGCCCCCGGGAGCTCTATATGGAGGAAGGAGCCCAGAATGGTGTGCACCAGGAAGACCAAAACTTTAGTGTCCACTTGCGTGATCCTGAGCGGCATGACTAACATCATCTGCCTGCTCTACGTGGGCTGGGTCACCAACTACATCGCCAGTGTGTATGTGCGGGGGCAGGAGCCGGCGCCCGACAAGAAGCTGGAGGAAGACAAAGGGGACACTCTGAAGATTATTGAGCGGCTGGACCACCTGGAGAATGTCATCAAGCAGCACATTCAAGGTACGGGAGCCCCGGAAACTTGGGTCGCCCATGAGGCCCGGGAGTGCCCTGCGCGGCGCGGGGTGCGCTGGGGCTGGTGCGCATCAACTCAGCCACGGCGGGGCTCTGGGGCCGCAGATGCGTGATAGTCGTGGGGCCTGAGTGTGAGCTCTTGCCTGCGTGCGGGACCCTCTGTCTGCGGCCGTGCGCGCTTCCCCGGGGCACACGTGTGTGCGCAGGGCTGCACGCGCGGATGTGTGCAGCTAGCTGGCGATATGGGGGCGCGCTGCGCACATGTCCAAATGTGCGTGTGACTCTGGGCTGGTTGCTCGCGGGCTGTCGGTATCGCACACAAGTCCTGCTCAGAATGTGTGTGCGTGTGAATGTCTGTGTGTGTACAAGAGGGAACGCGCGGGCAAACGAGCTTTTTTGGCCACTGTAGGCGTCAGGCGAGATGCCCGCGCGGCGGCCCTGACTATTGGCAGTTAAGACTCGCAGGTTGCCGGACAAGCGAGGCTAGGAAAATTGCGTTGTTTCAGCCCCAGCCCCAGTCTTGCTATGATCCCGTTGGTAAGCGATGGGGAAAGCAAGGAGGGCCACTTGAACCTATAGCAGTCCCTACCCCCACCACAGACCGCGGGTCCAGGACCCTCTCCAGGAGCAGGTATCAACGCCGGGAAGTAGCGCTGGAGCTTGAGCTCTGTCCACTGTGGTGATGCCTCCGCCCAAGACTGGAAGAACACGCCCTGGGCTGCGCCTTCCCGGCGGAGCCGCCCAGGACAGGGTGAAGGCCGATCCCTCCGGTAGCTCCACTCTTAGGCCCTGGGAGCAGCCGGGGCGGAGCAGACAGACCTACCTGGGTTGGATCTGAAGTGTGAGGTTACTCTGGTTGGGTGCGCTCCAGACCAGTGCGGAGGTCCAAAGGGAGGGTGGGGGTTGCAGGGCCCTCTCCCGAGGCGACCTGGTCAATGAGCTGTCAGAGGGAGGGGATGGAGTTCTGGGCCAGGAGCACTGGTGCCGGGTGTACACACACACACACACACACACACACACGCACTCACGTCCACACTTCTTCGCCTCCTCGCGCCCCCTGCTTTCTACCAGGCATGTGAGCTTCTTAAGGGCAGGGCCGAGCCTAGTTCCCCTGTAAACCTAGCAGGCCCACCAGGCTGAGGGGCCAGAGCATGGCAGACCTTGGCAAAATCGAATTGAACTGAAGTCTTCTCCCTCCTCCCCCGCCCCCCGCTAGGAGCACTCCCTTTTGTTTACACGTGGATGTCTGAATTTCAATCCTTGCACCTGCTGCCCTTGCCAGGGTAGAGATGGCTCCTCCGTCTGAATTTGGTGTTTCCCCGGGTGTCCAGAATAGTTCCTTCCCAGGAGGAGAAGGTTCAGGGAGGTTCAGGTGAGTGCAGGAGAGGCATCCACACCCATAGTGCTTCCTGACTAATGACTTCAAAACGAGCCCATGGCTTCGGCACCTTCCCAGAAAAGAGAGACATAGACAGCTTCTTCTTCAGACCTGCCTCTGCCTCTCAACCTGGCACTGGGCTTGGAAACCAATTTACCTATCTGTGGGTGCCTGTTGCTATTATTTCTTACGTGTCCTTTTCCATCAAACAGATCTTGATTGACTATTAATCAGCAATAGAAGTACAGTGTTTCCCTCAGGGTGATTCAGAATGTTCCCCGGGAGACACAAAGCCATACCTTACTTTGACATTTCTAGTTTGCCGACAGATTTTGAGATTTTCATTCACAGATTCTGTGTGTGTGTTCCTGGAAAATGATTCTCTTGTGCTTTTCTTTCTGGTCAGGCAGGAGGTGAGCAAGGTACTGCTCAGGGGATGCCATTAACCCCTGAGCCTGTCATAGAGTGGGTGCCTGTCATGTGGAATATGGACCATGTCATATGATTTCTAAGGTTCGACATGGAAACAAGCATAATGTTGAAGTTGAAAGGAAGCATTGTGATTTTTCTCCCCAGAAACTTTATAACTATGTGTTGTTCAGCACTTTCAAATCTGTACCTGAAAAATTGGAGAAGATGGGTTTAAAAAAAAGGAGCAGGGTCCCTAAAACATGTGTTGTTCCACTTCTACACATGCAGTGACCCCTGTGGGTATTCAGAAATAACTACAATCTCAAGACAGAGGGCCAAAGCTGCAACCTATAGGAAGGTAAGGAAGGGTCAGTGACTTGGAAAGACTGGAAATGAGGCAGGCAGGGGCAGAGGTTACCAGGTTGGCTGTGCCATTATGGTGTAGCAATGACTAACTGCTCCCTTTGCGGTGCTGGGGCCACCCTGAGCTGGGATTTAGGGAACAGAGGTAAAGGGCTTATAAAATTTGGGGCTGGTCAAGTGCAGCACTCTGAAGGCAGAGGGTGGTAAAGGACAATAAGATCAAGCTCTTGTGCTTGATGATACAAGCTGTTTATGTGTACCCCACTGTCAAGTTCCCTCTAGTCAGCATAGCCCTTAGAACTATCCAGTTTACTTTGCTGAGCTGGAGGGAATAAGGGGTAATAATAATAGCTAAAATTATATAGCACCTAGGATGTGTCAGGCCCTATTCTAAACACTTTACATATATCGACTTATTTAATCTTCACAACCTTATGAAGTAGGTAATATTCGCTCCATTTTACAGATATGGAAACTGAGGCAGGGAGAGGGTATATGATTTGTCCAGGGTCACACACTGGTATTTGATAGTACAGGGATATAAGCTCAGCCAGTGTGGCTTCAGAAGTTAAGTTCTTAGCCACGTACTAAACTGTCTCCCAGGAGGGCCCCAAGGTCCCTTGGAGTCCGTTAACAATGGTGGAAGTGGGTGTCAGAGGAAGAGACCTCAGAGGATGGCTGAGGGGTGAGGGAGTCAGCAGCCTTCCCACTTGGAAATGCTATAGATAAACTCAGGAAGCTCTGGGTTTTGCTTTGTTTCATGTCAAGAGGCAGAGGTTCCAGTCCCTTAACTAATGTTTGCTGAACATGCAGGACAGTCCCTGGCACATCCTACAGAAAGCAGCTGTGGGGTGAAAGTGTGGATGAATGGATGAGTGCAGATGCCTAGGGCCACATTAGTCATTAATGAAAGTGTTACCACTCTCCAAAAAAGATGTTTTGCTTTGGAGTCTTGTTCAGGCTCCTCTTTTCTTTAGAAGGAAAGTCTCCTGGAGGCTGCAGATGTCACAAAATGTTCTGCAGGATGTTCCACAGGACGTGCAATTAGAAGAGGCTTTGGAGCATCACCCCAGAGGTCTGTTCTAGTCATGACTGAAAAGTTCATTTTCGTCTTGGGAGTTGCAGTGATATTTCATTTTAATTTGTTTTCTGATTGAATGATTTAATTAGATGGTGTTTGGGAATCTCTTGGGAATGTAAATTGCAGTTTTGAGAAGTTTTTTGACCAAATAGATGTGAAATGAGAGGGTGGATAACTTACGAGTTTTTAAAAAAAGCATCCCGGGGGTTTAGAAACACAAAGTAAGTGTTAGTAAGGGTCAGGTTCCCTCCATCTTAGGAGTAGAAAGATCTGATGGCTTGACATGGTGAGGTGGATGAAGCAAGAATTTGCTAAAGGAGTTCTCAATGTTGGAGAGTGCAGGAAATGGAAATGTTGATTCAGTTCTTATTTTGGAAGTTCCGCAAAAATAAAGATAGCTTTCTTCTTTTCTTAGTAGCTTTCTGAATATGGAAAAGAATGTGCCAATGTTTAGGAAAATATTTAAAAATGTATAAAACTGCCCATAATTCATTCTACCCTAAAAATCAGTTTGCATTTTGAGCATTTCCTTCTAGCTTTGTTCATTTGCCTCCGTATTTCAAAGTGAAGGTGTAGTCATGTTTTACATGTAATTTTATATTCTGCTTTTTCACTTTCTTTTTGTTAATGAAGCGCTATTTTTTCCATATTTGCTACATAGTTTATTGGTTCAACATTTATCTGTGGGAGACCTAATGTGTGCCAGGCACTGCACTGGGAAAGTGATTGGGGATTATAGTGGTGAACTGTACACTAAAGACACTCTACCAGAGTACGGGCACTCTTGGTCCCTGTCATAGTGGACTTGTTTTCAAAGGACAAAGAATCCCTCTTAGTCGATGTGATCAGGGCTTCAGTTAGTTAATAGAAAAACTGGTTAAAGAGGAGAGTACAACAAAATATTACATACATGCCTTAAATATTTTTATTTTAATGTTATCCAAAATGTGCATTCATTTGCAAGACTCTTGATATCAGGCCAAAGTTTTGTCTTTGGAATGCATCTGCCATTTGGCGTTCTGTTCATCTTCCTTGCACAAGCCACTCCCATAATGTCCTGTTTACAAAGTTTGATTTCTAGTTCTGTTTTCTTTAAAATTCATTGAACACTTAAAGGTGCTTATGAAGCAGTCTCAGCATAGTAGCCTAAATTGTTACGATTTTTGTCTGATCTTTTGCAATGATTTTGCTCACATGTAATTTGATTGCTTTTCTTTAACTGACTACCCTTTATAAAGGCTTTGCAAAGCACTTAGAACTTAAAGTAATTTTCTTAGAAACAATGCTCATCTTTTTAGCAGTCATATTTCATTGGTTTATGTAATACGTGATTAGATTATGCTGTTACAGTGACAAGTACAAATAGTGTAAACACATTTGAGAACAAACCCACTGGACGGCTGGTAAGTGTACAACTCAACTATTTGCAGGAGCCGTGGGCAGTGGTACTAGAGACAAATAGGGTTTGTTGCAGAGGGAGTGGCAAGCATAGTTAATCTGGAGAATTGATTAAATGGAGAGTTTCTAAAGAAAACTTTTACTGTATTTTTAATGACTGAATAGTATTCTGTCATCAGTATACCATTACTGATTCAACCACTTTCCCATTATTGGACATTTGTTTTGCTATTATAATTACAGCAGAAATGAACATCTTCACCTCACTGTTTTTTGATTATTTTTAAGGGTGTCTTTCCAGAAGTGGGATTAGTACTGACTCAAACAGTCTGAACATTTTTATGAAAGATTGTTTTT